GGCCGTTGCCTGTGCCGCAATGGTAGTTAAGAACGTTGAGCTTCTGGCAGGTGAAGGTCATTCTGTCGTGTCTTCTTCTACCCTCCTAGGTTCTAGAGCCCATGGCCACCTGGAGTTCTTCAGTGTCCTACTTAGGTGTTCAAATGTGCTGTGCAGTAGGTGTACTTGAGTCACGAAATCAAAGAAAATATAGTTTTTAAAAAGATGTTGAATTTCACTCTAGCAGTTAGGACAGCTGCCTTGGGACATAGCAGTCACATGTGAAGAGAAGAAGGTAAGAAAGAGGGTAGATCTTGAAGGGACTGGAATGTCATCTAAGAAGTTTTGTCTCATCAAGTTTACTCATTCATTCACGGATCCATGTACATTCCCTTGAAGCAGGGATCCTAGATACAAGGCTAATCAGAAATCCAACCAAGACAAAAGATTATGTGAATCATGCAGTATTAATCAAAATTAAGGCTGGGGATAGATAGGAAATTTTCCTTTTTTTCTTTGTTGAGATAAATTCTTACTATGTAGCTCAGGCTGGCCTAAAACTCTACAGGCTTTGAATTAGTGATTCTCCTGCCTCAGACTCCCAAGGGCTGAGATGACAGGTGTAAGTGACCTTGCCTGGCGGTGGGAAAGATTTTTTGCGTGTCTGTATGTGTGTGGGTACATGTGTGTGCTTAGATGTGGGGGCTAGAGGTTGACATTGGGTGTCTTCTTTGGTTGACTTGAGGTGTCTTCCTTGCTCACTCTCCACTTTATTCACTGAGGCAGGGTCTCTCTCAGAACCCAGAGTTCAATTCAGTTAAGTGTAGCTAATCAGCTTGTCTCTGGGATCCAGTGTCAGACACATAGGCTGCCACACTTGCCTGACTTTTTAAATGGATGCTGGGGATTTGGACTCTGATCCTCATCTTCCCTCAGTAAGTGTTTAACCCACTGGGCCATTTCTGCAGCCCACTAAAAAGTATTTTTAAAAGCTCCATGTTTTGGCTTTCCTTTCTCTCTTTGGGAAACGGAGGAAACAGAAAAATGAAATATAATTTCAGGCTTCCATGGTGGGTGATGGTGTAAGGACTGTTGAATAGGACATTAAGAGCAGTTTTCCAGTATTTTGCTCCAAGGGTGAAATTATAGCAGGATTTCATGTTCTATGACATAAGAGGACTCTAGACCTGAATTATCTCTCTGTGCCTTGTGCCGCCTACAGAAAGCATTCATATTGTGCATTACTAAGTGAGTTAGCTCATGAAGCCTGCTGTATAGACGAATCAGAGCTAATACCTCCATCTATAAAAAGGAAGACTTGCAACTGAGTAGAGTAAACTGTGCATTTCAACTTGGTCTGAGCCTGAGAAAGACTAAGCTAAGGATACATAAAGGGTGTTTTTGTTAGCTACAGAGATGGCAAAAATATTCTGCCTTTTTCTTAGCATTTTTCCAAAAAAGTACCTATTGACTAAAATGGAGAAAAGGAAGAAAACTATAACATAATGCTTAGAAGATAGTTAAAACCCCAAAGGAATTAAGTAGTAGTCAAAAATCATGAAGACAACTTGAGAGTTTCTGTGGCAAGGTGCCAGGTAGCCATTAATTCCAGTTTTCTAAATTCATCCTATTGTCTTCTGTGACTGAGTTTTTATTTTGTTAAGTAGTTAGGGTGGTTTCTTGGGAAGATCAGAGAACATACTCTCTGTATTCGGTGTGACATATAAAGTTCTGCCTTTTGCATCATTTTTCTTATTGAGCAGGCTGTGTAGTAGACTGGTCAGAAGACTTGTGGAAAGATCCCCACAATGATATGAATGACAAATAGGCATTTGGTTACCTATCCCTAGAAGTTCAGTTTCACATTATTCCTAATCCACATTTCTTATTAAGAATGACTAAAGTGTGTGAGAAAAACTTTCCTATTCTATTGTCTTTTGAGAATGAATTTCCCATTCTTATTGATTGATGTTGACCACTGAACCCTTTCTTTTCCAAGCAGATAAAAAAATAATCTTACTTAATATAAAATTCCATTTCAGTTTGTCCCTAGAGAGTGTGGATTAGGAGATAGGGGAATGATTTAGTTGGCAAAGGACTTGCTGTCCACATAAACCTGAATTTGGATCATTAGCACTCATGAAAAAACATGGCAGCAGAGACCAGAGGATCCCTGAGGTTGGCTGGCGCACCCGTCTAGCCATGCACCCGCTCAAAAATGTGTAGCAGAGCCTGGAGCTGCTGGTCAGCTAGCCTTGCCTATTTGGCAAAGGTCCAGGCCAAAGACAGACCCTGTCATAAACAAGTAGAAGGCTTCCTGACAAATGATACCCAAGGTTCTCTGACCTTCACAGTCACAGGCACATGTGAATACACACACACACACACACACACACACACACACACACACACGTGTGGATTAGGCTGCTGATCTATTGCTTCTGTGGCCACAAGGCAACCGTGCATCATTGTATGTCCAGATCGATATTCCCTGTAACAGTTCAGAACTATTTAAATGACTGTATTGGAGTATGCAACTCTAGGTGTGATAACTTCATCTTCATATGACGTTTTAGAAGTTAAAATGCAATAAATGGAAACTAATGCATAGCAGCACAGAAATTTCTTCTAATTTTCTTGTAATAGTGCTCACATAATAAGGCTTTTATAATTTTAGAAAAATGTGTCAAATTAGGCAGTTATTTAAAAGGTTGGATGTCAAAGAGAGTTGTTTAAATTTCAAAAATATTAATATTTGGAAGCCAATTTTTTGTTTCTATCCCAGATCACACTGAACTCCAATTATGAAGTAAAAACCCAATAGTTATATACTTAACCACAAATCAGGCTGATGTGGACAGTTGCTATGCATATTAATAGTGGAAATAAGTGGCAGATGTTACCCAAGTTTAGCTGATGATAATTATCTGGCAAGTTGAGTTATTTTTCAAACAAAGAAGTTATCAGTTGTACAGAGGAATTTTATAGATGAAAAACATCAAAAGGGAAAACACAGGCTTTGCTCTTGATGGAAGGTACTTTTCAATACTTTCACATATTTTTGAAGTTTTCTTGTTCCTTGATATTCGTTAGTTTTTTATACTTATTTTTCTTTCGAGCTGGAGTCTCACTGTGTATGTCAGACTAATGTTGAGTTTGTGATTCCCCTGCTTCTGCCTCCCAAGTGCAGGTATTACATATGTGTGCCACCATGCTTAGCCCATTTTATTCTTCTTAGTTTAAAAACAGACTGTCCTTGAAATTAGAATGTATTTAGATCATTTATGAAATGATTCAGACTACAGTCTAAAAATGCATCGATGACAAAATGTCGAATCTGTATTTGTTAATATAAGATAGTCTATAAAATTTAAATCCAAGTAAAATTTATTTTTATTTATTTGTATTTAATAATGAGTCAGAAAACATCTTGATTTTCTCACCTGTCAGATGGAGTAGAAGGGGTGGGGAATGAAGGCTGAGAGATTTTAAAAGTTTCTATTAGTTTGGCTTTTGTCAAAATAACATCAAATATGATAGTGTAGCATGTCAAAAGCTCCTTATAACAGTGAAAAAATAAGTGATGATGTTCTTATGATAAGTATGACGTTGAGGCCTTTTTATTTAGGTGTCAGTCTCTGAGCATCCACTTTCCAATATAAAAACAAAGGGTTTTGCTCTCCATATTTCATCCTTTTCTAGAGATCTTGCTTTCTTACTGACATAGAAATGAAGAATCATTGGGTGATGCTGTTAAAATAAGCTCATCGGTCTTTTTACACACATTTCTGGTTTTGAAGCTATTAAGCCTCGGTACTTCTCAAGCACTGTAGACAGGGGGAGAAGGGGCTTGCTGGACCTACTTTGCCACTGAGTTGCTTTAATAATTGAATGATGAGTTTCTATTTGGAGATGCTTTAAGCAATATAGGTGTTATTCTTGGTGATATTATATCATTCTTCAAAGAAAATCTGTATTTATATCCAGCTTTATACTTCTGGGCAAAAATAGCAATAACACTTTCAAAATACTGATGGGAAATGAGTCTCAATAAATATGTTGGATTTTCTTAAGATAAAGAGACGTATGAGTCTCAGAGTTACAGCAGCTGTGGGTAAAAACAGTGCAACTCGGATATACTATTTTAGTAAGATGCTCGCTAAGTGCAACTTTGGAAGTTTCTTCTTTTTTAAAAAATTTGACTTTCCAGTAAACTATTAGGGAACTGTCCTTAAAATTGCTTTTCTTTTAAGTGTCTAGAAGTGGGAGGACATTCAAATTCAAAGCAGAAAGTCCCTTAAATTCCTTTTAAGTCTTCAGTCCATCCTGTTAGTGGCACTCCAGTGGCCCTGGTTGCTGCTGCTTTTAGCAGAAACCAGAATGCAAAAGCCTTCAAGAAGTGGGAACTGCAATGGGAGTTCTCTGTCTTTCTTGGAGTTTATAACCCCATTATTGGTTTTTTAGGCCATTAATTTTTCCCCATCAACACATTCTACTTCTACAAGTAAATATTTGAGAGTTAAAAATGTTCTGTAGTGAGGTATTTATACCCAAACCTCCAAAAATTATGATAAATTTCTATAGTGATGATAAATAAATTGTATAATAAATTGGAATATAAATTGTAATTTATATTTATAATTGGAATAATAAATTGTAAATGAACTATGATTAGATGAAGTGCTTTTTCACTCATTGGCTCCTTCTATCATGATTTCATTTCTGTGTTCACAATATCCCTATGCTAGAGGCAAGACATGTATTTGCTCTTGTTTTTTTTCATTGCTGAGGTTCAAGCCCAGGGTTTCGTACATACAAGGCATGCACTCTAGCATTGAGCTGTAACCTTAGGCCAGATTTGCTCTTCTGTAGGTAAAGACTCAGAAAACAAAGAGATTGACCTGAGTCTCAAAGTCCCTCAGGCAAGCTGTGGCCGAGCTGAGACCCAGCACCAGTGATCTGATCTTTGTTGTGATTGCTATAATCTGTATCTTATACACTGTGTTTTTCTTATACCCTAGGTTTCTCTTCTGCCATCCTCTCTCAGTCAGCCATTGCCATCTGAGAGCAAGCTGTGACTTCGTAACGTCAACCATCAGCCCTCCTGATACCCACCATGAGCTCTCCAGTGCAGCCTGGTCAGTAAACTGATGACACACTTTATCTGAAGGACATTACTTTGTGTTGTTCCAAATCAAGCTATTGAAATCATGAAGGATGATTTTTTTTCCTGATGAAGATTAAATGACAGAATAATAAATTTTGAAATTTGCATTGTGTAGTTAATTCTCTGTTAACACAGTTTGCTTTCTGAGTAATTAGTTTCACTTGCATTGTTATCTGAGCACTGGACTTTAATTATTTTGTTTCTAAAAGAGTGTTTAGATTGAATTTTCTGTAGTTATAAATACTAGATATGGTACAGGAATCTAATTCATACCCATAGCCTTTCTATTTGCTTTTAAATTATGCTTTGGGGTTTGGGAGTCAGCTTGTTCGTTGACTCCACCTCCACCTCTTTGACACACAGGAAGGATATTTTTCCTCCCCACCCTTCTTTGCTGCCACTCCTGTTTCCTATATACATATTTAATAATAATCTCAGCACTTGCTTCCTCTGAGTCCAGAGTAATATGTGTGGCTCATGTACTGCTGTGATCAGCACAGCCAACACCCATTCCTCCAGGAACAGGGTGTTGCTTTTCGAGCAAGTATCATCCAAGTTTGAAGAATGATGGAGTAGGGTCAGCTACCACATGTTAGTCACAGACACATTATAACAGTTTTCTGCTTGGGTCATTCTGTGAGTTTATTTCTATGTATCTTGCAGCATGCTGATATCCTGGAGTAACCCACCTCTCTAGGTCAAAGCTAAGGCAATATGATATTCAGAGCTCATAAGGAAAACTCTTACCCGGGATTTTCAGCCTCTGGAGTGCTGAACTCAGAGGAAATGCCCTTGAATCCCACTGTCTCATTAGCCTTTCTCCACATTCCTAGGATGTCAACTGGAATTATAGAGAAGGCTAAATTGATTCTAAAGAATGTAGTGAAGATATTGCAGATTTTTATTATGACCAAGACTGATAATTGAGGTTGTATCATCTGGTTCAACAGATAGAGTTACTTAGGTCTTTATAGACCTGTAGCTTTCAGATTTGACATCAAGTGATACATTGACATCACTTGGAGAGTTTGTTAAAACAAACCCCATACCCAGAATTTTTTTTTTTTTGCTTATTTTTTTTTTTTTCTTTTTTAAAGTCCTCAGTAGGACTGTGATTTTTTTTTTTTTTTTTAACAAATTCCCTTTGGCAATGATGCCGTTGCTCCCTGTAGGCATACTTTGGGACTGTAGCTCTAGGTTTTTACTCTTTTCTCTTTCTGTCCCTGAACTTCCACAGAGCCTGTTGAAATGTGCCCTGTGAGCTGTGTTGTTCACTACAATTATTGTATAGCATTATTACCATTTCTGTTGAGATGAACTTAAAATAATGTCTTTGTTAGATATATCATTTAAATATATGTATATGATGTGTATTTATTTTAATTTAAATTTAATAATTTAAAATTTCAGTTTAAAAGAGGCATTTAATTTAGAACCAACATGGTGAAATATAGTTTTTCTCACAGTAATATTTGGCAGTTGGAATGAACATACCTTGCCACACAGAATACTGAATTTACCATTCCAATTTTATAATTTGAAAATATCCTTTGAGGCTGGTATTTTAATGAGAAAGGTCTTGTCCGTTATGATAATTGCTCAGTTAGGAGCAGGGAAACAGTGATGGATAAATGAGACAGCCATGGAAGGAAGCTCATTTGTCCTTAAGGATTCTAAACTTTCCTTGTGACTTCTTTTTTAAATATATGTAGTTCTGCTCGGTTGACATCATACAATGGTCTTAATTAACTAGGAAGTATTTATGAATGAAATTTGAAATTTGGAACTATTCTAGGAAATGCACCAGGTAGGTGGGAGTTATCTCCATTTACTGCAAGTCATAAACTCCAATCAGAGACCTGGAATGCACTTTGAGTATTAAAGTAAATGTTCTTGGCACAAGCATCACAATGTTCTCTGTTGTTCTTAGCTATCTTGTGGAGCTGTATATCACTGGTCAGATAAAACTTCATCCATTTGACTCAGAAAGTAGTTTTCTTACATCTCTTTCTCTCTCTTTTTAAACTATCTAAACAGAGAATTAAATTGACCTTATGCAATCATCCATTTATTTTGTTTTCTTCCATAAACAGCTCTCAGGAGTTGTGCACAAGAAAGAAAAATAGACTCACTCCAGTAGTTCCAAAAAGTCTTTAATAGTGTTTCAGATTACTTATGTTTGTCTTGGAAACCATTCCTGGAATAATATGAATTCTTATCATCCCTACGCAGAGACACCAGTTTCAGACATGTTTTCTCCATCCATATTCAAATGCAGTTGATATGAAGTTAAAAGTATTTCTGACTTGATTGTGTGTTCAAACAATAAGTGATGATTTTTTTTTTTTGGTCTTTTTGAGACAGGGTCTCCCTGTAGCCCCAGCTGTTCTGGAACTCACTATGTAGACCAGGCTGGCCCTGAACTCACAGAGATCCACCTGCCTCTGCCTCCCGAGTGCTGGGATTAAAGGTGTGTGCCACCATGTCCAGCTTATAAGTGATGATTTTTGAACACAGAATTTGTTGGTTTTAATCTTGCTGCCCCAGTAGTGTTCTGTTAGAGTTTTGGGGTTTTTTTTGGGGGGGGGTGCTTAGGAAGGAAGACTTGTCCACAATTGTCCACTGACTGCAGCAGCTGAAATATTCATTCACTCAAAACTTACCAAGTAGTTATTTTATACCAGGTATTATGTTACCCAACAGGGACATGGGCTACTAAGGCATGGTTTCTACCCGATGGACAAAGCCCTTTGAGAGAGAGTCAGAAATAGTACAGTTTTGGCCCACTCAGTGTCTTAAGTGTTTTAATATCTGACTAGAAATTCAGTTCTTCTACATAGCAGTAAGGATGCTGTTTACAAGGATGGGCAGCTTTTCAAAGGAAAGATTTTAAGGCTCATCTAGCTTTGTATTACCCAAACATATAGATGATAGAAATAACCTGGGTTCAAAATGCAGGTTCCCAGGCACCTGCCCCAGATAATCTTATAACATAACCCCGTAGGAGTGGGATTTGGATACTGGATGACAGAACATGTTGTTCTCTGTTCCAACTTTGCTCTTAATTTGTCTCAAAGCACTAGGGTTTCTTATCTGGAGACTCTGAAAACAAAAAGCACACTATCTAATTGTTCCTCAGTGTCTTTCTTTTGTGAGGTAAGATTATAATTCAGTCATTTTGCCCTGTGAGGGTAAATAGATAAAACAGCTAGTGCTGCTGGAGCCTAAAGGCAGTAATTTTTGAGGAAAATTCTAGGGTCTTATGAGTAGTCTCTGCTTCTAGACTATCCTAGTTTTATGGGAAAAAGGTTGACCAAAGAGATTCTTAATCTCCTTCAAGTTTTTTCCTTCAGGAAAAGCTTAATTGTGTATTAACCCAGATGAGGTTTGTAATATGACCCCAAGAATTTAGAAAACATTTTTAATCCAGAATTCTTTTAGGAATAAAACAATTGTGTGCATCAACTCTAACATGATTTTAACATGATCTTCAGTTTTAACAAATATAGTTTCAATGTTGTAATTTTGTTGAAAATGCATTCACAGGAATTTTCCAAACATAGAATCAGTGTATATGACACCCCTATAATTATGCAAAACTGTGGTCTTTGGGGTTCTCAGGTGGCTTTGGGAGGTACATTGCAAGGTTGTATAACACTATTTTTTAATGTTTGTTGTATAAAGATAACTCATTTCCCTTTTCTTCATCATTGTGGGAACACTTACAGTAACTATTCTGACTACATGAATCAAGAGAACAAAATTTATTTATACAAGCAAAAGGTTTGTAGCAGGAGCTTATATTCTGTTTGTTTCCTCCTATTCTATTCATTTATTCATTCGCAAATCTTGTTCGAAAATTAGTTAAGGGATTTCCCTTCATGCCTCTATTTTGCTAAACAGCTGCATTCCCTTATAGAAATGTAGAGTAGATTTAACTAATGATCAAAAAGTTCTTTGAAATATAAATTATAATAGAAATGCTAAGTACTATAAACAATTCGAGGGCAAGCATTAATAAAAGCTTTGCTGCAAGCAGTTTTTAAAGGGAACTAATAAAAGCTTCATGGTTCAATTAATACAGCACAACATTGAGTTTTCTGGAAGCATATGGGACCCAGAAGGCCTGCCCCTGTTTTTAAAATTTACGAACTCTTTAATGATTCACCACTTTGCACTCCAGCGCATTACCCGCTGTGGTGCTGCTTAGTCATTAAGTAGGAAGCTAAAAATCAGGACAAAGCTGCAAACAAATATCATAATGTCCAAGTGGGTATTTTTTTTCTTCAGGTTTTCACAATATGTTACCATAAAAAATGAATGCTAATGAAATAGAATCATAGCACAAATCAAGTAGATTATGGCTTCCCCTGATGCCTGCAGTCACTTGGCCTCGTAGTGAGATGCGGGTCAGACCCCATTACACAAAGTGCAGTTTAACTAAACCACTTTCAGGCTGCTGGTCACTTACCTATTTCAAATAGCATTCAAAAAATATTCCAAGATAATAAAAATATTCCTCCCTTGAAATTTGTTGCAATAGAATGTCAACCTAGGGTACAGGATTACATTTTTAAATTTAAAAATTTTAAAAATTATTTTGAACTTTTTTCTTCTTCCACTTAACTGCTAAGTGATTTGTTCTTTTGCTATTTCTGTCTTGATATTTAAGTTAGAAACATAGAAAAGACATATTTTTTCATTCTCTAAATCCTAAGGAACACTTTATTAGTGAGTGACTCTCAGGGAGACACATAGACTTTGCCAAAATGTTCAGTGTACATGTATTTATACGTTTGTTTTTTTTCCTCACATCTGCTTTTCACAGTTAATTTTTTGTGCATGGTTCAGTATAGATGTTGCTCATTGTTTTCACTGTTGTTGAACCACAAGTAAACCTTATAATGTAGCTCGTAGAGAGAGCAACTTTGTGTCTCCCCAGTATGAAGTCTAGAAGAGTTTTCCTGAGTG